TCCTTCTAGGGGAGATATTTAAAGAACCTCTATCTAAGATCTCAGAGTGGTTTAGTCAATACTCACCCATTTCCTCCTTCACGTTTCCTCAAGGGAAGCCCAAACAGAGCTCTTGCTTTAGCGGGTACAGGGCAGAAAAGTTTCAAGAGAGTGACAGGATGAACCAGCTTGGATTGGAAGGAGATAAAGGAAACAATCTGCCAAGAGGCATTAATAGGTTTCAGAACAACCAAGAGCTTCTCTATGACTCAGATGACCCAAGGAATTTCTAAAAGCAACTGTGGAGGAAGAGGCCTGCACCTGTCTCACCTCCTTGAATGAGTGGCTGAGAAAGAAGCAGGAATCCATAGGCTGTTCTGCCAATTGTCCAGAGCCTGCAGGGAAGCTAGGCTGCTTCTTGCCTCCTGGGGCTTGGGATTGTGTTGAGTATAAGGAACCTGCAGCCATCCCATTGTCTTCTCCCCATTATGAGATGCTGACTAGTGTCCTGAAGTGCTGGTAAGAGGGGTGGCTGAGCTCAGTTAGTCCTAGGTGTGGTGGACTAGTCTTGGTTGGGTTTGTGGTTCCATTGACTTCCTTTCTCCGTAAATGAGGGGGCTCTGAACCAGGTATCAAAGGCCCCTTCAGCTTTTCCTTGGGGTCTAGTGATAAAACAGGAAAACAGAAGAGGAAAGTCCAGGAGTGGTTCTGACTCAGGAAGATGATGGGACCTGAGTACCCTGTCTTGGGGACTGTGCATGGATACACAATGGCATCCAGGTTCTAGACTGGGGGCCCAAGTGTAAGGGAGAGGTAAAAAGACTATCTCTACATTTGTATGAGACAGCAGATGAAGACTGATGAGGCTCAAAGAATTTCAAAAGACTCACACAAGCTGATATAGCTCTCCAGCAGGAGGAATGGCAGATATTATAGTCACCTCAGGTGCCAGCACTTACAGACTGCCGAAGGCTATGTGGAGCATCACATGGAAAAAAGAGTTTGGGTTGATTAATAATGTCTGCCACAGGTTTGGGGATAGAAAGTTGCTAAATGTTTGCATTCATACTGCTTCATTTAGTAAGTTGTTACTGAACAGCTACTTCATGCAGAACACTAGTCTAAATACTGGAGACTCAGTGGCATATAAGAAAAGTCCTCTCCCTCAGGAACCTCACATTCTATTAGGGGAGATAATATATATGTAAACAAATGACTAAATAATGTAATCTCAGCCAGTGCCAAGCAGCATAAGGAAAGTAAGATAACGCCATAGGATAGACAGTGATGGTATGGGGAGGAAGGAAGAACTTCAGATAGTCAAGCAGGTGACATTTAAGCTGATATCTAAATACTGAGATGAAAATACTCCAGTGAAGAGCTGGAGGAAGAGTACCAGGCAGAGGGAACAGCCAGTGCAAAACTCTGAGGTGGGTCTTCCTCCTGCCAGGGAGATCAGTTAGGCTTCTCAGAGGGCAGAGGAGGTAGGAGTGGAAATGTGCCCATCTGGATGTCTGACAGGGCCTCTAAGTTTAGCTAGTACAGCATAAAGCCTTCAGTCTCCATCCCCATCATCTGCCACCTCTACCCACTTCCCACAACTAACCCCGCTCACCCCCAATTCTCTTCCCTCCCTTCTCCATAAATGAAGCCACTGTCCACTTAATTCTTTAAACCACTGTGGTGCAACCCCACCCAAGTCACCATCAGCTCTTAGACTGGCCTCTGCACTGGTTCCTTGCCCTGCCCACTCCCTGAGTATGCAAAAGAAGTCTACAAAGCATTCATCGGACTAATTCCACCATTACTTTCTGCCCCCAAATTCTCTTTTTCTCAGTTTTGCCTTTTTAGAACTATCCTAACCCAAGTCAGGAACAGCTGCTTTATTATCTTTTTAAAAGAATCTGGAGTTGTTACAGCCATATACATCCCTCTAGTTAGCTCCAAATTGACAGTTCTTGCAGAGTGGAGCTGGGAACTGGGTATTAATTATCATAGGAACCATTTATCCTGGTTCTTCAGGCAGAGTTCATAGTATCCCTGAGAGGAAGGAGCGATGTTCCACCCACTTTTGTTCTCATGGATACTGGGGTGCAAAAAGTTTAGCTTCTCATTATAGATCTCATAGCTGCTGATTGTCTAGGCGCTCCAATTTGAACTCAGGTCCTTCTGGTGACAAAATCCATGTTCCTTCTAGAATCAGATGGCCAAAGGATGATGAGGTCAGAGAGATGTCTTTACCACAGCCTGGATGTTTCCTTGTCATTCAAAAATCCAAGGCCAGACTCTGCTCCCTGGGTTCCTTGGGACCTCCTTAGCCTAGAGATAAGAAGGTCTGGACTTTCTGCCCATTTAGCACTAAAGAAATGGAATGACCTAGGCCTCCTTCTGTGACCTGGCTTTCAATTCCCTCATGTCTGCCTGCCCCTAGCCCTTGTACCCTTTGAGGCAGCTGGTCACCTTCTTGCATTGGGCTGTTGTAGCCAGAATACTTTGGTGTTCTTCAGCCTTTCAGCCTCTAGGTCAGGAAGTATTCCCGTGGGAACCATGGTGTCAACATCCGGTGAGGACAGGCCTTCTGTTACCTGCCGGCTCTACTGCCTCTGCTATCAGGCCCAAGAACAAAGGAGCTTGGTGCCTGCTGCCTGGCTGGCTGTGTTTGTCCAAGGTGAGGCCTAGCCTGGCACAGATGCTGAGCAAACAGGAGTGCCAGACTCACAGATCTGCCTTACAACGAGCAAGGTTTTAGTTGGGAGGTGTTGCCACCAGGCCACCTGCTGAAATATCACCCTTGTCAACACCAACCAGCCCCTCCACAGAGCAGACAGGGATATAGGACAAGCATTCCCCTGGGCTGCAGGCTCTCCAGCTCCACAGCTGAGAGCTGGATAAAATGACTTCCACGATCCCTTCTGTAGGCTTTGTTTGAGGTTTCTAGAAGCCTTTGGGACTTAAGAACAAGTCTGGGGTGTAGGGGTGGAATCAGGACCTCTGAATAAGGCCTTCCCCCCACCCCAACCCTGTGCACCCACACACACCTGGAAGACTAAGCTCTTTCAAATCAACGTCCTTGCCCTCTGGATTCATGACATCACCCACCCTACTGGAGTTTTCCAGAATTGAAGTCCTAGTGACCTTTGTGGTCAGAGGACTGAGTGTATCCACTATGCTTGTGGGGCCACCACAAACCTAAATCACATTCTCTGGCCCGGAAGCCAATGGATAGGTAAGAAGGCTCTGAGGGACCTTAGAGTGATGTTTATCCATTTACTGTAGTGAGAGGTCACATGGTGATTATGACTTCAGAGTTTAGTGTGCCTCTGAACCACCTGATTGTTAAAGTACAGAATCCTGGGCTCCACACTGTAGAGATTCTGAGTTCCAACATCAGAGGTGCAGGAGGGCAGTCAAGGTTCTGTTTTTAGCACACATCTATGTGTCCCTTAGCTCTCTGATGAAGTGGTATGGATCCATAACTATATAGTCCTGGGTTCAGATTCCACCTCTTTTTAGCTGCGTGACTTGGGACTAGTGACCAAACCTTTGTACTCAGTTTTTCTTTTTGTCTTTTTCTATCTATAAAATGAGGCTACAGTAATATCTACCTTGACTAAGTGCGAGCTATTGTTTCAGGGTGTTTATTGCACCTTGTAAATATTTGTGCAACGAACAGGGCTGTTGATTGCTGGAACCAGAAACGTGACGCTCTCTTTGATGTCTCCGTCTACTGCATCTCACTCACCCATCCAGTCTCAAATTCTGGCAAACTACTTCCTAAATGACCTTCAAACTTGCCCTGTCTATGTCTCCTCACACCTACCACCCTAGTCTAAGCCACCATCTTCCCCTCTTGACCGCCGCACTGTCCCTTCACTGGCCCCAGGATTCTATCCCGGCTTTTGCCTGTTCACCCTCCCCAGGTCAGCCATGCCAATCTGACAAGGTAATGCCCCTGTTTCAAACCCTGGTGAGGGAGGCTTTATCATGAATCCAGAGATCCTCCCGGCCACACTTGCTTCCTAGTTCCTTTCAACCCCTCTCAGCTCTGACTCCACATCCAGGCTATTTTGACTTTCAGAATCCTCCCTTCTCTGTCTGTCTCTCTGTCTCTGTCTCTGTCTCTCTCTCTCTCTCCTCCCTGTAGCCGCAGCTGGCCTAGAACTCACACGTAGACCAGGCTGGACTTAAAAATCACACAGATCCGGGGATCCGCTAGCCTCTGCCTCCTGAGCACTGGGATTAAAGGCATGCGCCGCGCCACGCCGTTCACGCTGTTTTCTCTGCGCCAGCACCACCTCCCATCCCCTAATGCACATCCTTTACTTTTTACTCTTCTTTCATATTGTCACTCAGGTGTCTTTTCCGTAGGCCTAACGTTACCCTTGACCTTCAAGTGTGCTTTGAGAAACTAGATTCTTCCTCTTCAGAAATACGTGGTACACGTCCGGTAAGATTTATGCCCACATCCACCACTAACGTGGCCTTGCCTTACCCATTCTTTGATATATTGTGGTCGCCCAAAGGTATTTGTTGAACTAACAGTTACGGCTGAATGGACGAACTGAGAAGACCGGGCTTCTGTTGCGATGGGTAATCCCTACGCCCACCCCCTTTCCCACTGCTAATGCCTAAGCAAAAATCTTGGGTCTGGACTTACGTGGGAGAAGAGTCACCAGGAGTCCCAGGGGAATACCAGCCACAGGGGGGCGCCCCCAGCTCGCTCTATCTGGTTATCACCTCCCGAGACTCAAGTTGGTTTCTAATTGCCAATGGGCGAAAGGGGGCGGGATTACTCCGCAGACTGACAGTGTCGCTCCGCCCAATCTAATTCATCTTTTCCTTGGCCCCGCCTGTGCCAGGCCCGAGACTCCGAGGGTGGGCCTGGGGAAGAGCCGCCAACTGAACTCCAGCAGAGCGCTCTGGCAGCGGAACCAGCTGGCTGGGCGGTCTGTGAGTGGGCGGCCAGTCGATGGGGGCGTGGCCGCCGCGTTGACGAGCAGGCGGGCGGTCCCACCCCTCCTCCCAGAACGCCAGCTCCAGCGCTACGGACAGCAGAAGTGAGTACGTGAGCTGTGCAGCCGGATCTCAGTTCTCACCCGGACGGCACGCGCTCCCCAAGCCCGCGATCCGAGTCCCGCCCGCACAGGAACGTGCACGGGGAAGCACGACCACCTGCGCCCTCTGCCTCCCGGAGTCCTCCGGTATCGAGCCACCCAGCGCCCGGGATCCTCCCGGACCGGTCGGTCTGGATTCCCGTGGGACCGACCTGCCAGCATCTCCCAGAAGCGCCGGGCCGGGGGCGACACCTCGGTTCTGGAGTCTCCCGACCGTACTGCACCCCCTCCCTGCCCGGATCTCTTGGAACCGTACGCGAGCCTTCTCCTCGGGCGGCCCCAGCCCCGCCGGCGCGGCCCGGCTCCGCGCGGCCCGCCTGAGCGCCCCGGGCCATGGCCGGAGCCCGCCTGCCGCCGCCGTGGCTCCTGTTGGTCCCACCGCTGCTGCTGCTGCTGCTGCTGCTGCTGCTGCCCGCCGGCTTCTGGGCGCTGGAAGGTGAGCGGCGTCGGGACCCCGGAGCGCAGCCGGGGAGCAGTGTGGGTCCCGCGGATTGAGCGCACGTCCGAGGAGGCTCTAGGCCCGCGCCCTGTCCAGGGCCGGCGATCGGGTGCGGAGGACGTCCCCGGAGGTCTGGGAGGCTGGAGCCCACTCTGCGGCCCGCGGGTCGGGGTGCTACTGGCAGCTGGGCTCCGGACGAGCCGTCCCCCAAAGTCGTGGCCCGGCTGAGGGTTTTTGTGGGAATACCCTACACTCCGCGCACCGAAGCCGGACCCTCGGGGTCTCGCACCTCCGGGAGGCGAGGAAATGTGGGCGTCCCAGCACACAAGGCGGAGGATGCGGGACTGGGCGGATGGGAGGGCGAAGAGGGACTCCCCAGGTGGGGGACGGCGCTGGTTGGGGACCCGTTGGAGTTAACTGTGAGAGTGTGTGCACCCGGCTTTGTCAGGGGATGGCTGCGGGGGTGGAGAGGCGGGGGCCTGTCATTGTTTATGGTTTCCCAAGTGCCAGCAACACATGAGGTGTTGTGCGTGTCTGTGGTACACCCTTCTCTGACCCCACCCCCTCCCCTTTCTAGCAGGATACTCGGAGAGCTTGGGTTTCCATTGACCCCCGGAAACAGGCGGGTTTTTCCGGGTAGAACAAGAACCGAGTGGGTTCTACTCTTTAGCGGCGGGAAAGGGCCAGCCTTGTCTACCGGTACAGTGAAACCTGCTAAGAATGAGAAGCTAGCTCCAACTTCCAACACATTGTACTTGGGTAAACAGAAAAACAGAAAAAGTGTGGTTGGCCCTGGCAGCATAGCTCACACACAGGCCACTTGGCATGAACCTATGGGCCACAGGAGTGCCAGCACAGGTCACAGTCAGGAAGCACATATACACCCCTGGTGTTCCAAAAAAAAAAATGTGGATCCATTAAGTAAGGGGTGAAAGCCTCCTTAATGTGGAAGGAGGGTGGCACAGAATTTTGGGAGAAGTTGGAATGTAGGCGGAACTTGATATTTGGTATGTTGAACCAATCTAGACACTTTTGAAGTTTAGAAACAAAGACATGAATCCTATGTAATTGGGTTCCTTCCTTAAGTTCTCAGTTGGTAAGCTTAAAGGTTGGAAGGAAAAATCTTTAACATAGTTAAGAGAGATGGTTTCTGTTTTTGTTTTTGTTTTTTTTTTCGAATTTTCCCTAGGGGGTTCATGTTCCCATTATCTCTGAGCCCACTCTGCTGACAGATTGATTCACATGGATAGACACATGCAAATTCAGACAGATACACCAAGGTCTAACCCTCACTTATGCACACTCACCCACATGTGTGTGATAGGATCGCAGGCGTGAGAAACCAATATGGGGCGCTGCTGTTGATTGCCTTAAGGGTGTGAGCCAGGGAGCCTGTGGAGTTCCCAGGTCTGTGACTATCTTAGCTAGGAGAGGCACTGGTACAGGTGGATGGACTCAGAGAGCTGTGTGTTTCCTGTGTGTCCCATGGCCCCTTTTGCGGAGTGTGGTGGGTACTAATGCTGAGAGTGGAGTAGGGGGTGTGGTTTAGATGAGCAAAGTCTGCCTGAGGCTCATCCCTTGTTCCTTCCTTCCCTTCTTCCTTTTCATCCTTCACAGTCCTCAGAACCACTGAGGCAGGCCCTAGCCAGTAGCTGGTATCCAGGCCCTTTAGTCCAAGGATCTGGAGGTGGCTAAGAGGTAGTTGTGATCAGCTGTAGCAGTCTAGGAAGGCACAAGAGCTACTGAGTCCCTACCCCCTCCTTTTCCCTTGTGAATGGGAGCCAGGGCTAGTCCAGGCTGAGGGAGGCTCAGCCAGTTGAGGATTCCCCTGAAAAGTAAAGCCTACAAGAGTGTCTTTCAACCATTCGTTTTTGCAACACCCCAGATCCTGCATGTGAGAGAAGAAAAGAGATCCAGGTGCTGAGCCCAGCCCTTACACCTATCTACTTTCCTCTCCTCTGCTCAGGATGGTGATAGTACCAACCAGATTGTATTATTAGTACAGTTTAAAGGGCTTAGGGTAGTCTTTGTTATTCAAGGTTAGTGTTGTTATTATTACTATCATTACCCTAGGGTCTGCTCTTTGGGGAGCAGTGGGAAGTGCCCTGATCCTTCTGGAGGGGGTGAGAAGAAGGAATGATGGGAGAGACGGCTGGTCTGGAAGGGTGGGGGTATAATTTCCCTAAAGCTCCAAGGAGGGAAGAGAGAAAACTGGCTCAGTGGGCTCTTGCCTGTATCCCACCCCTCTTCTGGGGCTTAGAGTATGTGAATGGGACGGTCTGGAGAGCAGGGCTCTGTAGGTTCTTTAGCATTGAAGATCTATCACCAGCTCCCCAACTACATGTGGAGGATCCATCTCCTCCATCCAGCCTTCCATTTGGCACAGTTAGGACTTGACTTATCCTTGCATTTTGGCTCCCTGCAAGTGTCATTATATGCAGGCTTAGGGTCCTTGAGTGCCGTCCTTGGTGTATCCACTACTTAGATGCTGTCTGACACCTGGTTCCTGTTCATTTCCTGCACACTCGTTTATCACGAGTTTACGCCCCAGGATCTTATCAACTTACCATTTGGGTAGAATCAAGGTTTTATTTGTCCTCTCTAGTTGACAAACTACCCCTCCCCCCACCCCGCTTGCCTTCTGACTACCCCCCAGTGCACATACAGACAGATTGCCAGGGATTTGCTCAACCACAGGCCACCTCATTGTTCATTCTCCTTTTGAAGACTTCTTGGGTTCCCACAAGCCCAGATCATTCTACCCATCAGGACTATGAATGAGTGGGAGAATGGTGACCAGTAGAGTGAACAGGATAAGAATGGGGCTTAGGATGAGGCTTAGGGTCTAAACCACAGGTAAGTCCCAACTGGAAGCAGACCTCTTTGTGAAGAGAGAATATTCCCAGATTGTGTGAAGTGGTTTGGGACATCCCACTCTAAGTAGTTCGTGCAATGGAACCAGCCCCTGGGGGTGGGGGTGGGGGATGACTGCATGTGAGTCCCTGTCCTTGAGAATGTGGGACCTGCAAAGGGCAGCCTAGGAGTTTTATCACTTGCTTGTTTGCCTTGTCTCTGGTGCCCCTCCATCCCTGTTCTTGTTTGTCATCAGCTACAACTTCACATCTGAGGAGAACACTGCAGGCACTTGGGGGAACCAGTTTGTTTATCTGCCCTACCCCTTATCCAGAGCTGCTGCCACTGCCACTTTGGCCTCAGCAGCTGAAAGCTAAAGCCTAGGCTGGCCTAGGCTGTTGTGGGCAAGGCCTCCCGCCACTGGCCTTCCACTAATTAAACAGCAGAAGAGGCTGAATCACCAGGCCTGCATAGTTTGAAAATTGTAGCCCTGCCTGTTATGCTGAGTCAAACTGGTTTGTCGGGATTGGGCAGCATGGGTGGAGGTAGGGGGTGGCAACTGGGTACCTGATGGGGTGAGATTGGCTCCCTGGCCCAAAGGCTATCCTGAGGCCAGGTCTCCCATGGTCTTCTGCCCTAGCCCCTGGTCAGGCCCACTGGGGCCAGGATCCTAGGGAAGGATGAAGGCCAAATGCCAGGGCCAGCTGTCCACATCGGTGCTGACTGGTAAGGCCAGCCCCGGGTAGGAGCACCAAGGCATTTGGCCTCCCTGCCCTGTGCTTCTTCCGTCTTCTCGTCCCTCTCTCTCTCAGGTTTATTTAATTATAAATCCCCATGATCTGAGGGGAAGAACGAAAAACAAAATGTGTTCTCTGTTCAGAGATGCTCTGCTCCCCACCATTCCTGATGTGGGGGCCAGAGGGGCTGTAGCAAGGGATAGGAAGTGGCCCTGGAGAAGCTAGGCAACTCCAAACAAAAAGAAAAAACATACACACACCTAAGTGCACACTCAAGGTCCTAGGGCAGGTCTCCCCCCAAACCCTTTCCCCTTGGGCTGTCTACCCTGTGTGTGAGCTGCACACAAACTGACACATGACAGGAGTGAGAAATTGGGAACCGGATTCCTCTGCTTGGTGGTCAAGGTAGGGCTCTATGGAGGTAACCAGGGTAACTTTCTTGTCACAGGCACCATCTCTGGACACTCCTTTCTATCCAGGCGCTGTCCCCTGTCCTTCTGCCTCCTGTATTCCTTATCCTTGAACCTTTCCTACCATAGTGTCCTTGGTCTGGGTTTAGGTCAAAGCCTCCTTGCTTCTGTCTCAATTGTTGTTTCCTAGGTCTCAGTGGCACTCCTGCTCTGGGGGGAATACTCTCTAGGTGACTTGGGACCTGGAGGTGCTATGAGGTCTGGCAACTCCATAAAGTTGGGTGAGACTGACCCTTTTACCAGGGCAGGTAGGAAGGTGCTCTTGCGCCAGTGTGGTCCAGTGAGGCCCTCAGAGGCCCTGTCAGGGTGCCTATAATGTTCTCACACCAGGTCTCTAACTTAAATGTTCCAGCTCCTGGAGCCAAACTATTGCTTGGTGCTCCCATCCTCAAGAAAGACTGGGGAATCCTCCTCATACTGCCATTATGCTGCCCGGGAAGTGGCTTGCTGCTTAGGCAGGGGCTATACCTGAGAAGGCCGTACCCAGACACACCTAGAATCATCTTGATGCCCCTGCCCCACCCCCAGCCTTGTGACCTGACAGCTCCTGCTTTAGCCTGGACAACAGGAAGCAGAACTGGCACTTGCTCCTTCCAGGTGGCAGTGAACAAGCCTGCTCAGCACCTCTGCTTTGCACAAGTGGCCTGTGTGGCTGGCCTGCCTCAGTGTCTTCTCCCAACTCCTCCTCTACCCTGCTATAGATATCCCAGAGAAAGACCATACTTGCGGTGTGTGTGTGTGTCTGTGTGTCTGTGTCTGTATGTTTCTGTGTACATGTGTGTTGCGTGTACACAGAGGATGCACTTCTGAGGTATCACAGTAACTTTAGTTATTGATTCCTATGTTATTTTCCATGCCTCTTCATGGCGGTATGGGATGTTCTAGTGCTATCAGACATCCATGTGACTGTGTAAGAGCATACCCCATGTCTATGTAGGGAAACCAGTACTTGTGTTTGTACTTTTCACTCAAGACTGTGTGCCTTGTGGCTGGCAATAGTGTGTGCAGTTGGGTGTATAAGAAGGGTGTACTGTTGAATTGGGTGTGCCTCTCTAGGAAGGCTGAGACTGTGAGAGTGGGTCTGCCTAGGGCAAGCCACATCTGTGTGTAAGAAATCATCACTGTATATGAATAAGTTCAAGGGCTAACCTGTTTGTACCATATGCATCTGTGTATCTGAAGAAGACAGACTATGTGGGGCCCGGTGCCTGTTTGTGGGTGGCTGTGGCTCTGTTTCTGTCCACCGAATATGTTGACCTGTTCCTCCTTGGTCTCAGTAGTGGGAAACAAGCCCAGCCACTGAAAACTGGGTGCTGCCCTTGCAAATGTGTTTGTGCACAGGTGACAGCCACACAAGCTGCTGCCATGGGGCTATTTGCCATGGCCCTGTGGAAAGTCCCAGTTCCAGAAAGATCACTAGCCTGGTAACAACCTCCCTGGTGACTTTTGGGGGACAATGTGGGTCCCGTGTCTGGGGCAGCCCCCCCTCTGATCTCTCTCTACAGCCTGGGCAGAGCAAAGTGTGGTGTACTGGGCAGCTAGGAGTGTCTGGAGGTCGCTCATTTACTCCTTTTTTGTTCTTGAGCCCCTGTGCCTTCCCAGCCAAGGTCTCCCTACCACTGCCCCACCCCGTCCCAGTGCCAGGGGCAAATGGGTGCCGTGATCTTCAGTCACAAGGCTGGGGCACAGATACCTCGGGTATACCCTAGCTGCAAGGAATAAGCCTGTCCTCAGAGGAGTGGGGAAACCAGAGCAGCCCGCCTCCTCCTCACCGGGTGACCGGAGCCGGAGCCCTTCCTTAGGCACACAGGACTGGAAATCCAAGTCCTCCTCATTAATGGGAAAAATGTGCCGAGATTGAGCGATGGCCAAGGCTGCACGATGGCCAAGGGCTGATCCCCTCTCTCTCCCTCCTCCAGAGCCTGCCTTCCGTCCTCCCCTCCCCTCCCCCACTAGCTTCCCCCTCCTCCCGGAGCCAGCGCAGGGCTTGTTTTAAACTGTGGAGGAATCTGGCTGGAAGGGGGAGGGGGCTGAATATTTGGGTTTAAACAGTTCCAGATGGGTTTGGCACAGGCTGAGCCGAAGGAAGTGAGAGGGAGGAGGGAGGCAGCGCGTGGAGTTGAGCGGTGGGAGCCTTTGCCTGCTCCGACGGGCGGCGGCTGGCAGGCGGGCAGACAAGCAGGCGGACTGGCCGGCCGGCTGGCTGGGGGAGGGGGTGCGCTTGGCTGGGCTTGAGCGGCTGCTCCGAGGGACCGGACTACTCCAGGCTGCTGCGGGGAAGAAGCCACTTGGCAGTCTCCTATGTCTCTTTGGGCCTCCTTGTCTTTCCCATCTTACTGTCTGTTGAAGTCTGCTGCCCACCGCCCCTGCTGTCTGGTCCCAGCCAGCCAGAGTCCCTTCAGCTTGGCCCACTGTCTGGCTCAGCTAGGGCCCTGCTCTGCCCTCCTGTCTCTGGGCCCCTGCTTCTGCCCATCTCTGCTTCCACCGGCCAAATATGTGTCTGTCTGTCTGCCAGAGGAGGCTGCTGCAGCTGTAGGAGGTAGCCTGGCTCCGCGCAGTGAGTGGCTGCTGCCCTCTGCCCACTGCCACCCACGGGGTTCTAGGGTCCCCACTGCCCTGTCCACCCACTGGGTCCTCCGTCTGCTTCAGCAGGAATCTGTAGGGTTCATATCTTCTGGGGAGCCTGGCTGTCCTACCATGTATGTGGGATCCTCCAGAAGTTCTGGCCCAGAGTTGAGGGTGCCTTGGCTCCCATGCTACAGGGAAGATGTTGGGGCACCGCCTCTCTCCCCTTCCCAATCTCAGTGTATATGCTCTTTCAGGAGATAGTAGAGTTGTCCATACAGAGATCAGACCAGGTTTCTAGGGGTGCAAAGTTCATGTCAGAAACCTTAAGGAACCCTTCTCATGGCTGAATAAGGGAGCTGACAAGAAACCAGAGCTGAGAACACAGGGTACAGGGTAGAGGCTTGCCGGGACACATGGAGGAAGGCAGCTAACCTTGCCTGGGGGTCGGGTGGGGGTCCAAGAAAGACCTCCTGGAGAAGGAACAGCCTGCCTGGGACACACAGGCGTTCTCCAAGCTTTCTCTTGTTCCTCCTCTTTTTGAGACAAGAATCTTACCATATGCCCCAAAGTAATGTCAAATTCACCATCTTTCCTGCCTTGAGCTTTCGGGTGCTTGGATTCCAGGTGTGTGTCACCATACCTGGCCTTCCTGTGCCTCCTTTACAGAGGATCTCTGGCAGTCAGAGTGCAAAGGGCTGATTATTGAGTCAACTGGACCAGAATTGGAGCTGTCAACCCCTTCCTTGCGCCTGTCCTAACAGTTTTACCAAAATACACTGACTTTATCAGGGCATCCATTTTTTGTAAAAAGGAGCCATGAATCTTTCTCTAAAGATTTCAGGAAGCGTCTGGGGTGGAGAGAAGGCTCAGCGGTTAAGAACACTGACTGCTCTTGCAGAGGACCTGGGTTCCATTCCCAGCACCCACATGGCAGCTATGAATCGTCCTTAACTCCAGTTCCAGAGGAATTTGAAGCCCTCTTCTGACCTCCACAGCATTGCACAATACAGTTTCACTCACATACATGCAGGCAATACACTCATACACATAAAATAAAAATAATATTTTTTAAAAAAGATTTCAGGAAGCTTTAAACTAGGTTCTGATTCTGGGCCTTGGTGGTCCCCACCCCACCTCAAAGAGCATTCATGCCCCAGCCCCCACAGGTGGCTGAGTGGGAGGCTAGGAACAGGTCCTGGCCTGCACTGCCCTCCCCTTCTGGGCAGTGTGGGTCTGGGCCTTTATGCTGGGAATGGAGTCAGGGGAGGCTTGGGCTGCTGGGTCTGAAACCCAGAGCCTTTTGTTCCAGGATAAAGGCCCTACTGGCTCCTTTGTGTGGAGATTAGCAGAGCCTGAGGTGTGTGAACCAGTGTCTGTGCCTGCCTCATTAACCCAGGCCTAGGGTCAGCAACAGACACCTACCCCTAGCTAGCCAGACTGTGACACCTATGGAGATGACTTCTGGTTGTCCTCTGGGGGCAGGGAAGGGGGGCTTTGGCAGATTGGTGCCTGATGGGAGCTGGTCTCCCACCTTCCCACCTTTCCTGTGTGATTTCCTCATTCTGAGATTAACCCCTGATCTTTTCTTTGTGTTGTTCCCTCAGAGACCCTCATGGACACAAAATGGGTGACATCGGAGCTGGCATGGACATCTCATCCAGAAAGTGGGGTAAGACTTCCCCATCCTCTCTCCTGAGTGTTGGCTGCTGTTATGCCTTCCCCTCCAGGCCAGGGAACGGGCTGCCTTTGCTTTCACCTCCTGTGATAGTCCTCCTTCCCATTTGTCACCTTCTGCCTGTCTGTGCCCTGAGCCCTGCTCTCCTTTTGTCTTGTTCCCCTCACTTACCTTCAGTCTGTTCCTATTGTTCCTCCTCTCCAACCTGGCAGCCCTTCCAGGTCCATGCAGACTACTCCCTGCTCCTGCCTGGGTCCCTGAAAAGTGTGCTGACTTAGAAACAAGGACACCTTGGCCCTAGATCTCTAACATGCTCTGTGACTTTACGCAAGACAATTTACATTTCTGGGCCTCCACGTTCTAATACCTCTAAAATGTTGGAATTATCTTCCCTAGATGGCCTTTATGGCTGGGCTGAGCCTCAAGGCCCCAGGGTATGATGATACCCTGCAGTCACCAGGCTACCTATAATTTGGGCAGCTCTCTTCTGTAAGCTTTGGCTTCCATTATCTCTAAAATGAAAATTCACCTCCTTGTGGTTTTTTTGTAAGGACTGAATGTGTTGGTAGTATATTTATCAAATGCTTTCTCTCTGACAGGCAGGATTATAAACCAAGTTAGACTATTTAATTCTTCACAACCTTGTTTAATTCCAATCAGCCCCATTGTACAGTTGATGAAACTGAGGTCCAAAGAGAACACATATTATAGCTGTATTGGGCTTACAAGGTCTCAGCCCTGTTCTCAGTGCTTTCTTCATTTAGTCATTTATTCCCTAGGTTAATTATCTCTTGAGTGCAGATCAGAAAACTGAAGTACAGGGAGCTTAAATAAATACTCATAGTTACCCAGACAGTTGGGATTTGAACCCCTGTGTTCAACATACATGCTCAGCCACTTACCATAGAATCACCTCAGTGAAGCAAATGTAGCAGATCTGAACACTTGGCACACGGCTTATTTTCTTTTTTTACTTGGTCCGTGCTCAGTGGGAAGAAGTGAGTGGCTATGATGAGGCCATGAACCCTATCCGCACGTATCAGGTGTGTAATGTGCATGAGTCCAGCCAAAACAACTGGCTTCGCACTGGTTTCATCTGGAGGCGTGAAGTACAGCGGGTCTATGTGGAGCTCAAGTTCACTGTGCGAGATTGCAACAGCATCCCCAACATCCCTGGCTCCTGCAAGGAGACCTTCAACCTCTTCTACTACGAGGCTGACAGTGATGTGGCCTCAGCCTCCTCCCCCTTCTGGATGGAGAACCCCTATGTGAAAGTGGACACCATTGCCCCAGATGAGAGCTTCTCACGACTTGACACTGGTCGCGTCAACACCAAGGTGCGCAGCTTTGGGCCGCTTTCCAAGGCCGGCTTCTACCTGGCCTTCCAGGACCAGGGTGCCTGCATGTCACTCATCTCTGTGCGTGCCTTCTACAAGAAGTGTGCATCCACCACTGCAGGCTTTGCACTCTTCCCTGAGACCCTCACGGGGGCTGAGCCCACCTCACTGGTCATTGCCCCTGGCACCTGTATCGCTAATGCTGTGGAGGTGTCGGTGCCACTCAAGCTGTACTGCAATGGTGATGGCGAGTGGATGGTGCCCATTGGTGCCTGTACCTGCGCCACTGGCCACGAACCAGCTGCCAAGGAGTCCCAGTGCCGTGGTGAGTGGGGCCTGAGGAAGGAGGGAAAGAGCCCAGATGACAGTCCGACTGTCTGACCAGATCTGTTCTCAGATGTGGAGTGAAGGGGAGGAAAGGGAAGAGTGGCTGTCATGGAGCAGAGAGTGTCTTGCAAAGAGGGACACAGCAGAGAAAATGAAATACAAGGAAAAGAAGATAAGACATGAAGTTGGGGATGCAGCTCAGGGGTAGAGCACTTGCCTAGCACGCGCAAGGCTGTGTTCAGTTCCCAGCACCAGAGGAAAGGAGAGGAGGAGATAGAGATTTGAAACCAAAGAAAGTGAGCACCTGAGGACCTGGAAAGACACGAAGCTGCCCTCTTGGTTCTCGCCCAAATGTATACTTCACCTTGGAAGTTCTAGGGTGGGGGCAGAGCTGAGGGGATGGGGCTGTAGACACCTCTTTACCTTACGGGCTCATTCTTTCCTTGATGGGCAGTATATGTGGCACAATAGTTAGAGGCCAAGTCCCTCTGGTCCTGAGTCCTGTCATTTACTGTTTGTGTGACCCTGGGTAAGTTGCTTAACTCTGCTGACCTGGCTTCATCATGCAAAATGGGGCAATAGTAGAGATCCCTTCCTAGGGGTGTCATGGGGTGAGTGATGCTGTGCCCTAGGACCTCCATTACCAGGGGATGGTAGCCACTGGTCTCAGGAGTATAGGGACGTGTGGAGGACAGGGATTGTTCAGTCTTCATTTTATTCACGAGGAAGACAGGAGCCTTGCCAAGTCTCATAAGACTCATAGTGTGCCAGGCTTCCCAGTGGTAAAATCCACCTGATGGGGCCTTCTCTTTCAAGCCTCCCCACAAGCTTATAGGGGGATCCCAGTGTTCTTATTTTGTCAACAAGAGCACTGAATCTCTTGCAGGTTCTGTACTCCGGTCCCCATAGCTAGGGAATGTGGAAGGTGCCACTAAATCTCCACCCAGAGATGCAGCAAGACAAGGTGTGAAGGTCTTGTCTGTTCTCTCTGGGACTTGTGGCCATAGCTCCCACTTGGAGCTGGCTCTTATCATAGCCCTCTGTGTGAGGGGGCTGGGCCATCAACCTGGCGGGCCATGTGAGGCCCCAGTGTGGGCTTGTCTCACTGGCTCCCTCTCTGCTTCTCTATGGGAACCTGCTAGAAACTTCCTCTTCCCAAGTGTAGAAAGGGGGTGGGGGTGATGAGCCTGACAGCCTGAAGAAGGGCTAACACTCTGCAGGTCCCTGGCAGGAAGTGCAGGCTGGTTCCCATGGCAACCAGGCTGGCCTGGCCTCTGCCCCCTCCCCCACTGGTTCAAAAAGCTGGGATGGAATAACACCTTCATGAGGGGAGATTAAACCCAAGAGAAGGGCACAGCCTCCTCCTTAGCCAGAGGCATAGAAAAGCCTACTGACCCCCTCTAAAGGTCACATGGACAGGCTGACAAGACTTTGGTGTATCCAGGACAGCGCCTGATTATGAACATTATCCTAACACAATTATTCCTAGTGCCCCCCTTTCACTCTCAGAATATTCTGATTTGAACAGTAAATCTTATGGCCACCCTAGATATGAGGGATTTTTAGAGCTCACGTCCCAGGGGCTCAGTGTAGTTGGCAGAAGAGGTGAGAAGGAATGTTCAGGCACTGGGCTGTGGGCTTACCTTGGGACAGGTCCCTGGGAGGCTTTGAGGCCTCTGAACTCCAGGTGACCCCAGCTTCTTGCTATTTTCTTTCCTTCCTCTCCTGTTCTCATTCTGCCCCAGCATCTGACTTCCTCCCTGGTGGGCGGGGGCATAGGTTTGGTGGGAGCCCTCTACAGAGGAGGCCCTACATCTTGGACATGGCTGCATGTACTTGAGAGTCCTCAAGAATTACTTTCTCAGAGCATCGGGGAAGGAAGGCTAGGGCATCTCAGCAGGATAGAGAGTGTTGATGCTTGCTGGTGGTCTCTTCCCTCTCCTCTTCTTCCTCAGCTCTCTGCCTTGCCTCAACAAGTCCAAGCTGTGCAGGTGATTGGGCTGACACCTTCTGAGGCCCAGAGGTGGTGGAGAGGAGGGCAAGGGTTCAGAGGAATCTGCTGATGTGAGATTTCCATGGGGCAAAAGGGCCCTTTGTGACTGCAGCTGCAGTTGCGCAATACAAGCATTGCCCCTGTCCTCTGGGAGCTGAGGGGCTGGTCTAGGGAAGGCCAGGTTCTTACAGAGGAGGGAAGGCTTGATGTCTGCAGGGAAGGGAGATGAGCACGTGTCATCTTCTTTTCTCTTGCAGCATGTCCCCCTGGGAGCTACAAGGCAAAGCAAGGAGAAGGGCCCTGCCTTCCTTGTCCCCCCAATAGCCGCACCACCTCACCAGCTGCCAGCATTTGCACCTGCCATAACAACTTCTACCGTGCAGACTCAGACTCTGCAGACAGCGCCTGTACCAGTGAGTGAGCTCCCTGCAGGGGCCAGCCTAGGAAAGCCTAAGTAGTCACTGAGATAGCTCCTTCTTCCAGGTGGGGAAACTGAGGCTCAGAGTTTAGATGATATACTCAAGATGGCACCTAGGAGGTAATCGCCCCTAAACCAGAGTCCAGCTCTGCTGGCTCATCCCATCTACCTGCATTTAAAAAAGTGTCCACTAGCTACTGCAGGCAATTAGGAGCTGGCTGGGACCTGCCAATTTATGGCTTCTTTGTCCATATAGAACTGCTGCTTTCTTGACCTAGCTCTAACCACAGAGGCTTTACAACCCAGGGGTATACTAGTGTCGGGCCTTCTCCCTGCCCTCACCTTTCATATACAAGACAGAGTGCCAGGTGCAAGAGATATGGATGAGAGTGAGTTACTGTCACTAGGGAGCTTGCCACCACCAAATTGTAGAAACAGATAATGACCATGTAATGTGCTAAATGCTGGGCCCTGCATGATGTTATGGGAGTGGATGGGAGAGGACAATCAAAGAAGACTTTTAGGAGGAAGGAACAGTGCACTAAGTCTTGAAGGATGAATAGGAATCTCCCAATGAAGTAGTATAGGAAGAGTGTTCTGCTTATTAAAGCAGAGGTAGGGCAGATGTCCAGGCAGTATGGGCAGAAAGCTGGTCCAGGCCCCTAGCTCAATTCTCTTTCTATGTTCCCAAAGCGGTGCCATCTCCACCCCGGGGTGTGATCTCCAATGTGAACGAGACCTCACTAATCCTCGAATGGAATGAACCCCGGGACCTTGGTGGACGGGATGACCTCCTGTATAATGTCATCTGCAAGAAGTGCCATGGGGGCTCTGGGGTCGGGGGTCCCTCAACCTGTTCACGCTGTGATGACAACGTGGAGTTTGTGCCTCGACAGCTGGGCCTAACAGAGCGCCGGGTCCACATCAGCCACCTGCTGGCCCACACACGCTACACCTTTGAGGTGCAGGCAGTCAATGGTGTCTCAGGCAAAAGTCTTTTGCCACCCCGCTATGCAGCTGTGAATATCACCACCAATCAGGCTGGTGAGGAGTAGACACAGGAAGGGGGCCTGGGTCATCTTGCCCTGCTGAGAGGCCTCAGGGGATTTGTGGGAATTAGCCTTTGGGAAAGATGTCAGGGCCTAGGAATTTACAGTGATCCCTCTCTTTTCTCCAGCCCCCTCTGAAGTGCCTACACTCCACCTGCACAGCAGCTCGGGGAGCAGCCTGACCTTGTCCTGGGCGCCCCCAGAACAGCCTAATGGAGTCATTCTGGACTATGAGATGAAGTACTTTGAGAAGGTCAGAACCTCAAGGGACAGGAGGAGGCTTGGGGCTACATGGGGCTAAGAAGACTACATCCAGATACTATCAGGGGCCCTTGGGAGCAGAGCCTCAGCATGGGACAAGCCTGGGTATGGACAGGGGCCAGTTGGCTCCAAGACCTGCCTGAGGATGCCTCCATTCTTGTGGCATTGCAGAGTAAAGGCATCGCCTCCACTGTGACCAGCCAGAAGAACTCAGTGCAGCTGGATGGGCTGCAGCCTGATGCCCGCTATGTGGTTCAGGTCCGGGCTCGCACAGTAGCAGGCTATGGGCAGTATAGCCGCCCAGCTGAATTTGAGACCACAAGTGAAAGAGGTATACAACATGCCTTCTTCCAGTCCCCACCCCAGCTCATTGTCTTCCTCTACTCACAGCCCATCTTTAATCTCCAGGGTCCAGTGCGCAGCAGCTCCAAGAGCAGCTTCCCCTCATTGTAGGCTCTACCATAGCCGGGCTTGTCTTCATAGTGGTTGTCGTGGTCATCACTATCGTCTGCCTCAGGTACTAGCAGGCCATGACTACCCTCACAGGCTGACTCAAGCCCTCCTTTAGTAGTAACCTTTCTATTGCACCCAAGATCCACAGCCATCCCAGGCCCAGGCTTTCCTTAGCAGAGAAGGCCTACATCAGTCCATCCCATGTCTTCTGTACAGTTTCCCCACTCCCAAGGGCTACAAGCCCTGAGTCCCAGGATTGGCTATGACCACCAACCATGGGACCAGGTTCTCCTTCCTATACCCTCTGCCTTGTCTCTGGGCCCCAGGGTCCCCTGAACAGAGGGAGCTGTAGGACTTGGCTCAAGCCTCCTCTGCTCTGCCCCTCCAGGAAGCAGCGGCATGGCTCTGATTCAGAGTATACGGAGAAGCTGCAGCAGTACAGTGAGTGTCTCCCTATCCCCAGTGCCTAGCCCCAAATCCATTCCTTATACACGGGACTACTCCCAGTAGGGTACCATTTCCTGATACCATCCTCATTCCAGGTCCCCTGAGCCCTCCCTTACTTGCTAGCCCAAGTCCAAGATGCAACCTCTGCCCCAAAGGCAATTAGTCCTGTAGAACAGTTGTCTTAAATGGGGTGTTTCTATGGCAAAGGGCACTAAGAGTTCAGAGAAGAGGAAGGCTCCCTGGAGGAAGTGGTAGGATGAACAGGGTCCCAAGATGAGGGAGCATTCTTGGCTTGAAGGAGCCTCTGGAAGGAAGTGAATGGGGTGGAGTGCCAGGCTGTGGGAGCAGTGAGAAGACTGGTTTGACAGCTGTGGGGATGCCAGGCTGAGGAGTGCAGCCAGTCCTTGGAGGGTCCTAAACAGCAGAGTTTGGATTTGACTCTACCACAGGTAATTGGAAAGGCTCAAAACTGAGGAGGAAAACAGTAGATATATTGTTTCAGGAAGACAGGGCAGCTGGGTGGGAAAAGTGCAGAGGCAGAGAGCCCAGCTGGGAGGCTATTGCAATAGTCTGAGTGTTGAAGGCCTGGACAAGGTCAGGCAATGAGGAGTAAAGGGAGGGATGAATTGGAGAGAAGTTTGAACATGATGAGAGATGAGGGATAAAGACAAGAGGAGGAATCCTGGGCATCTAACTCATGGGGCTCCTCAGCATTCTCACAGAGGAGGGGGCAGGCTCGGCATAGAGGCTGTCATAGAGGCTGTCGAGCACTCTGGACAAGGCTGGGAGCCTAAGGCAGGTCCCTGCATGTGAGCTCCCTGGCTTGAGGTCCATCCTCTGTGCCCACCTCTTTTCCCTGTAGTCGCTCCCGGGATGAAAGTTTACATTGACCCCTTTACCTATGAGGATCCCAATGAGGCTGTCCGAGAGTTCGCCAAGGAGATTGACGTGTCCTGTGTCAAGATTGAGGAAGTGATTGGAGCTGGTGAGTCCCCTTAGAGCACACTGATCATGCGAGTCAGAAGTGGGTGTAGTGCTAGGAAGATCTCAGAAATACCATATGACCTGTGCCATATACCCTGCAGGTGAGTTTGGGGAAGTGTGCCGGGGTCGGCTGAAACTGCCTGGCCGCCGGGAGGTGTTTGTGGCCATCAAGACGCTGAAGGTGGGCTACACTGAGAGGCAGCGACGGGACTTCCTAAGTGAGGCCTCCATCATGGGTCAGTTTGACCACCCTAACATAATCCGGCTGGAGGGTGTGGTCACCAAAAGTCGTCCAGTTATGATCCTCACTGAGTTCATGGAGAACTGTGCCCTGGACTCCTTCCTTCGGGTAAGAGCCAGCCCCCAGCTCCTTTCCTTTCCCCAGAGAGCTAGGTCAGACCAACCAGCCGTACTTACCCCCCACCAACTCAGAGACCCTATTTAAGTCTGCACATATTTACTGAGGTGGTTGTCCAGTTATGATCCTCACTGAGTTCGTGGAGAACTGTGCCCTGGACTCCTTCCTTCGGGTAAGAGCCAGCCCCCAGCTCCTTTCCTTTCCCCAGAGAGCTAGGTCAGACCAACCAGCCGTACTTACCCCCCACCAACTCAGAGACCCTATTTAAGTCTGCACATATTTACTGAGGTGGTTGTCCAGTTATGATCCTCACTGAGTTCGTGGAGAACTGTGCCCTGGACTCCTTCCTTCGGGTAAGAGCCAGCCCCCAGCTCCTTTCCTTTCCCCAGAGAGCTAGGTCAGACCAACCAGCCGTACTTACCCCCCACCAACTCAGAGACCCTATTTAAGTCTGCACATATTTACTGAGGTGGTTGTCCAGTTATGATCCTCACTGAGTTCGTGGAGAACTGTGCCCTGGACTCCTTCCTTCGGGTAAGAGCCAGCCCCCAGCTCCTTTCCTTTCCCCAGAGAGCTAGGTCAGACCAACCAGCCGTACTTACCCCCCACCAACTCAGAGACCCTATTTAAGTCTGCACATATTTACTGAGGTGGTTGTCCAGTTATGATCCTCACTGAGTTCGTGGAGAACTGTGCCCTGGACTCCTTCCTTCGGGTAAGAGCCAGCCCCCAGCTCCTTTCCTTTCCCCAGAGAGCTAGGTCAGACCAACCAGCCGTACTTACCCCCCACCAACTCAGAGACCCTATTTAAGTCTGCACATATTTACTGAGGTGGTTGTCCAGTTATGATCCTCACTGAGTTCGTGGAGAACTGTGCCCTGGACTCCTTCCTTCGGGTAAGAGCCAGCCCCCAGCTCCTTTCCTTTCCCCAGAGAGCTAGGTCAGACCAACCAGCCGTACTTACCCCCCACCAACTCAGAGACCCTATTTAAGTCTGCACATATTTACTGAGGTGGTTGTCCAGTTATGATCCTCACTGAGTTCGTGGAGAACTGTGCCCTGGACTCCTTCCTTCGGGTAAGAGCCAGCCCCCAGCTCCTTTCCTTTCCCCAGAGAGCTAGGTCAGACCAACCAGCCGTACTTACCCCCCACCAACTCAGAGACCCTATTTAAGTCTGCACATATTTACTGAGGTGGTTGTCCAGTTATGATCCTCACTGAGTTCGTGGAGAACTGTGCCCTGGACTCCTTCCTTCGGGTAAGAGCCAGCCCCCAGCTCCTTTCCTTTCCCCAGAGAGCTAGGTCAGACCAACCAGCCGTACTTACCCCCCACCAACTCAGAGACCCTATTTAAGTCTGCACATATTTACTGAGGTGGTTGTCCAGTTATGATCCTCACTGAGTTCGTGGAGAACTGTGCCCTGGACTCCTTCCTTCGGGTAAGAGCCAGCCCCCAGCTCCTTTCCTTTCCCCAGAGAGCTAGGTCAGACCAACCAGCCGTACTTACCCCCCACCAACTCAGAGACCCTATTTAAGTCTGCACATATTTACTGAGGTGGTTGTCCAGTTATGATCCTCACTGAGTTCGTGGAGAACTGTGCCCTGGACTCCTTCCTTCGGGTAAGAGCCAGCCCCCAGCTCCTTCCCTTTCCCTAGAGTACTAGGTTGGACCGACCAGCCCTCCCCACCCCAAACCAAGTCAGAGACCCTATTTAAGTCTGCACGTATTTACTGAGGTGGCATAGCGTAGGGAAATAACTGAGCCTTTACATCTTGACTGCCTCTTACTGCCTGTGTGACCTAAAGCATGTTACTTAGCCTCTTCTAGTCTCAGTTGCCTTGGTTATAAAATGGGACTGGTAGGATATACTGGATCTTTATGGGACCAGTGAGGTGTTGTATACAAGATGCATGTGACATAGTAGGGCAGCTAACAACTGTATCTACTCAGCATTTTCAGGACACAATTAGAAGGATAGATGAGGCATGGTCTCAAAGGACTCAGAAAGGGCAAGCCAGCAAGCCATGGGCCTGGAGGGAGGCAGTGGGCCCATCTTTACCTGTCTCTTGCCTCCAGCTCAACGATGGGCAATTCACAGTCATCCAGCTGGTGGGCATGTTGCGGGGCATTGCTGCTGGCATGAAGTACTTATCTGAGATGAACTATGTGCACCGTGATCTGGCTGCCCGCAACATCCTTGTCAACAGCAACCTGGTCTGCAAAGTCTCTGACTTTGGCCTCTCCCGATTTCTGGAGGATGACCCCTCAGACCCCACCTACACCAGCTCCTTGGTACAGCAAACAGCTGGGAGGGCATCAGGGGGTAGGGCTGACCAGTCAGGGGCTCAGGGCTGGGGGGCAGCCTTGAGTCACAGGGTGAAGGGCATGTGCCCCCCCCATCAGGGCGGGAAGATCCCTATCCGCTGGACTGCCCCAGAGGCCATAGCCTATCGGAAGTTCACCTCTGCTAGTGATGTCTGGAGCTATGGAATTGTCATGTGGGAAGTCATGAGCTATGGAGAACGACCCTACTGGGACATGAGCAACCAGGATGTGAGTGGGGCTGAGGGAGAATGGTTCATGGTGGGAAGTGGCTGCAGGCAGAGCTTACTTCAGATTCCCTGCCCTCTATCCAGGTCATCAATGCTGTGGAGCAGGACTACCGGTTGCCACCCCCCATGGACTGTCCCACGGCACTACACCAGCTCATGCTGGACTGCTGGGTGCGGGACCGGAACCTCAGGCCCAAGTTCTCACAGATTGTCAACACACTAGACAAGCTTATCCGAAATGCTGCCAGCCTCAAGGTCATTGCCAGTGCCCCATCTGGGTCAGTACTTTTGCTCCTACAAGCTGGTAGCCCTAGCTCCATTCCCTTGCTCCTTGGACCCACCAGATCACTCTTTTTTCCACAGCATGTCCCAGCCCCTCCTGGACCGCACAGTCCCAGATTATACAACCTTCACAACAGTGGGTGACTGGTTAGATGCCATTAAAATGGGGAGGTATAAGGAGAGCTTTGTCAGCGCTGGGTTTGCATCCTTTGACCTGGTGGCCCAGATGACCGCAGAGTAAGTAAACCTCCAGTTTGCGGGGATTGGACTGGACCTGGAGTGGCAGGCAAGAGGGAAGGGACTGACTACCATTTCTCCATCTGTAGAGATCTACTACGGATTGGGGTCACTTTGGCTGGCCATCAGAAGAAGATCCTCAGCAGCATCCAGGACATGCGGCTGCAGATGAACCAGACACTGCCTGTGCAGGTCTGACACCGAGCTCCAACCAGGGGGTAACCCCCAGGACTGCACAAGAACTCTGACCAGCCGGCTAGACTTTTGGATGCCTGGCCTTTGGCTGTGGCCCAGAAGATGGAAGTCTGGGGAGGACCCAAGCTGGGCTTCTCTGGGCCTGTGCTCCCTCCCCAGGAAGTGTGCCCCAAACCTCTTCATATTGAAGATGGATTAGAAGAGGGGGTGATGACCCCTCCTCAAATGCCTTGGGGCCCAGGCCTTCCTGCTCTCCAGTGGGGAATCCTAACAACCTCAGACCTGGCTGTGCTTCAGTAATGGAGGTCCTGGTAGGGTCAGATGGAAACCAGCCTGGGTTCCTCAGGCCCTAGCCCTGGCAGGGTTCTGGCCCTCCGGGTAGGCAGAAAGTACTCCCTCCCTCAGGAAATAGAGGAGGGGACTCTGGAAATGGAGAAATATTGCACCCCATCCTGAAGCCAGCTGGTACCTCCAGTTTGCACAGGGACTTGTTCTGGGGGCTGAGAGCCCTGTCCCACCACTGCCCTTGGTGCTGTCATAAAAGGGCAAGCAGGAGCAGGCTGAGGAGCAGATCCCTGCCCCACAGAGACTGACTCTCAGAGCCAGAAATGAGACGTGTAAGAATGTGTTTGTGTGTGTGTTTGTGTGTGTGTGTGTGTGTGTATGGTATGTGCACATACTGGCCTGCACAGAGCATGAGTGCGTACAAGCTTGGCCCTGTGCCCTTTAGTAGGGCCAGCTGGGCAGACAGCGAAATAAAGGCAATAAGATGACTCTTGACCTTTTTCACTCCTCCCAAAGCAGGATTCCTTGTCCCTCAAGTCCATAATCCCTGACTGCCAATCCTTCACAACTCCTGAAGTCAGTGAGAACAGATGAGATCTCTCCAGGCCCAATTTCTGTTGTTTCAGTCTCATTGCTTCGAGCATCTAACCAAAGTGGAGTGTTTACTGGGGAGAGCAAGCCATCCTAGAGCACCTTGTTTCCCTAGCCCAGGGCTTCCTCAAGAGGTTAGGCAGCCTCTTGAGCCTGGCTGGTGTTCTTTGGAGTTCCTGAGGGAGAGCCAGGTGGTCGGTTAATTCTCAGGGTCACTTGGCCAAGCACAAAGGGAGGGCATTAAAGCTACTCTTCTCTGAACACTTACTGTGTCCGCTCTCAGGCTAAAAGCCCCATTTATACTCACATCTTATTTAACTTCACAGTAATACAGGGACAAAGGGAGTTAGTAATTTGACCAAAGTCCCAGCCAGTACAAGAGGCAGGATGCCGGGATTCTCTCCCTACAGATTGCCTGTGTACTTGAAAGGTTCAGGGGATATGTAGCAAGAGCCAGGGAGAGGTTAGGAAGGCCTCTGGAAATCAAAGAAGAATGTGGAGGCCCCAGCAGCCCCTTGGACCAACAAACAGGAAAAAAGGGATTGGGGGAGTCAGATGCAATCCTAGGTGCTGTAAACTAGGTGCTACATGGAACCAGTTTCCAAGGTACCTGCATATCCTAATTTATAGAGTGTCACTGGGAGGCATCAGGTAGGTAGGCCTACAGGCACAGGCAAACACTGGCCCACATGTATGTTGGGGTTCACGCAGGGAGACCTTGCTCTTTACACTTCCAGGCAAGGAAGGGCTTCCTAGGAGAATTCTAGGTAGAGGCAGTAGAACTACCAGGCCAAGAAGCCGTGGTTTCAGGTGCAAGGGATGCAGGGGCTGGCTGGAAAGTTGCTGGCTCATCCTGGGTCACCTCACCAGCTGCTGGCAGTGTGGGCTCTCAAAGCCACCCCTGCACCTTTGCTCTGTTTTCCAGGGTGCAGCTCCTTAGAATTCCATGCCTAGAGTCCAGCACTGGGCCTAGACTGGTGAAGGGTGTAACCACAAGGCCTGACTTCAGTATTGACTGGGCTCAGGAGCCCCTCCACTTCCTCTGGGAGCCAGGTGGGAGGTCATGCTGTGGAGATGGCCCTTGGGCTGAGGCAGCAGAGCTGTCAGTGTGAGGTGTTACAGGGCTTCAGGGGAAGAGATGTGGGGCTGAAGGGTGCTGGCCCTGCTGAAGGCTCAAAGGGGACCAGGTGCTCTCAGGTCCAGCATTGGATTAGTGAGGAATCTGCAGCCCATGTTCCCTGGGGTAATCTTTCCACTGTCCAATTCCATCAAGGAGCTGAGCAGAAGAGAACACCCACAGAGGGAGGGCAGAGTCTCAAGGGCCAACTTGAGCCCAGGGCCCAGGGGTATAAAAGTGCTCTACTAGATGTGCCCTGTGCAGGCCACCCTGCATCTCCTCATGTGCAGATCCCTCTTGTGCGCATACCCTATCCTGCCACTACAGGGTAGAACCTGAGCCAGGGGCACATACAATTGCCCAAGCCCACTCTATTACCCCCAAACCACTCCTTTTTATGTCCACAATCTCCATCCCAACCCATGTCCTAGCCCACATATCTTCAGAGCTTCTGACGACAAGGAGAGGAGCAAGCTGGTGCCTCATCCAGAGGGCTGGGATGTGTTCAGACCCTAGAACACGGCTGCAAAGGAGAAGAGGGGTGTTGGCAGAGGAATAAAGAGGGCATCCTGGGAGGGGTCTAGCGTTCCTGAAGGCAGATAAGGAATGAGGGGGTGTGAAGTTTTTAGTTTGTCTAGTCTTGGTTAATTACACACTCCAGTGGCAGAAGATTAGCTCCTTCTAACCAATGATTTAAAAGGGATGCCAGTTAGGGGGAGGGGTTGGGAGCCACAGGTCCCTCCTTTCCTCCTGAGACCTAAGTCTGGGGAGACAGGTGCTGAGTAATTACTGGGGTAATGCAGTGGGAAGCATGGCCCACACAGCACAGGCAAATGTAGTGCAAAGGGCAGCTGTCTTTCTAACGTGACCTGGGCAGGTTAACATTAATGTCCTCATCTATTAGAAGGTATAGGAATTATTTCTATTCCATGACATTGTTATAAATGCTCAATGTCAATAAATAAAATCTGTACCCAGGATGTTAGTATGTGCTCAAAAATGCTAGGTATTTTTTTTTTTCTGTTAGTGTGAAACTTTAGAAACCAACAGGAAAATAGTGGACAGTACTTAGCATCTAGGGATCAAATAAAGTAAGGCACTTGGGGGATTTGGGTGGGGAGCGCTCTACCAAACCTCTCTCAGGTCTCTGGAAGGGAGAGGGCAGGTTTGCCTTCTGGAAGGGAAGAAGGCCAGGAAGCTAAAAGAGCAAAGAAGTATGTACCTTTGGGGCCCCGAGTAGTTTAAAGTCAATGAGAATGCAGAAGTTGGGTAGGGGCAAGTCCCTGCGGGAGGAAGTGTAGACTCATTCTTCAAACATTAACTAGATGTCTACTATCTGCAAGCACTGTACTGGGTACTGTGATGAGCAAGATGAAGCAATGCTTCACAGAGCTTAAAGTCAGTTAGAGGACGGAGATGTGATTCAAACAGTCCTAGAAAGAGCGAACATAATTCAGGACAGTAAATGCTACCAAAGCAAAGCTGAATATTGCGGGACCCGTAAATAGGGCTGGGGGCTCCAACCAGTTATGTGATTCCGCCCAGCAGAGGGAGCTGGGACCCCCATTATCATCAGGGTGCTTTAAACCTAGTGTCTACCTTGAGTATTCTCCATTCACTTCCTCATTCATTTATTTACATACTCCTTGGGGGAGGTGGAGGAGTCCTTTATAAACCAGTTACAGCATAGGAAGCTAAGGATGTGGGGATGAAGCAGCTACAGCCTGATTATGTCACTGATAGATAAAGTAAGTCACTAAAACACTAGAGCTGGCCAGGTGTGGTGGTGCACGCCTCTAATCCCAGCACTTGGGAGGCAGAGGCAGGTGGGTCTTTGTGAGTTCGAGGTCAGCCTGGTCTACATAGTGAGTTCCAGGACAGCTGGGGCTACAGGGAGACCCTGTTTCAAAAAACAAACAAAACACTAGAGCTGTAAGAAAGAGCTAGGCAGGGGTACTATCAATAGAGGGTCACCTGAGAAGACTGGACTCCAGAGTTAAGCCTTGAACACTTTTGGAGTTAACAGAAGAGCAGGGAGTAGTATACACATAGGCTCTGAGGCAGGGCAGCCTAGAGGCCCATACACCAACTCAGAGAATGAGGAAGGCCCAGGCTCTTGGACACACAATGCTGACCAAGCCTTCTCTCCCATAATCTGTACCCAGCTGGTGCCAGCCTAGAGTGCCAGTCTTGGGCATCTGATCTAGCAGTTCTTCAGTGTTCCTTGGGCTTGCCACTTGGCTTCCATAGCCCTCTGCTTTATAACCCTGCTGCAAGGAACAGTTGTCTACAAGTATTTCTGAGTGTATATTTCTTACCCCCTCTATAAGAGCTCACATAAGTGAATTAGTTCGCCCAGGGTCAAATAGTCACTAGCAAAGCCCAAATCCAAGCCCAGCCTTACTTGTCTCCAACTCTGTGTCCTTCCATGGTAACCCGAAAGAGGGCCCAGGGAACCCATAAATTCTGTACCTGACAACACCTGGAGTGACACCCACCTCCAGGGTAGGTTCTGCATACAAAGTCAAGGACTTTATCAGCGTTCATCTTTTGAATCAAGGCAAGAGCAGAGAAGCTGGACAGCCACGTGCTGATGGTACTTTCACAGAGCACAGCTCAGAAGTGGAGTAGTGTGCAAGCTTGAGGCAGGGGCCGAGTAGATAGGTAGGCAGCTCTCTCCCTCTACTTCTCTTCTCTGTCCCTCTCTGTTTCTCATTAGTTAATCCCATCTCATGGAGCAGGAATGAAAACAGACTCATGATCTGGCTAGAGGTATACCATGACATCAGTTCACAAGGACCTAGCCTGCCTGGGACAGAGAGAAGAGGCAGAAGACAGATCTCTCCAACGTCTTTCCCTGCTCTGGACACTGAGCTTGGGGCAGATGGGAGGAGACACAGTGCATTCTCTATGGGACCAGGAAAGGGCAAGTGGGCAGGAACATAGGAGAATTGGAACTGACTCTCCTCAGACACCACCGCCTCCCACAGCCTGCCACTCTTTCCACCCATAGCCACTAACCACCATCCCATGTCACAGTTTTTTTGAAGCCACATCCACTGCTGAAGTCTTCCTATCTTCATCTTCTTGCCATTTCTGAGCCTCTGGTCACAGCTGGGATTCTTCTGGAATTTGGTACCTGTAGACCAGATTCTTTTTGGTTCTGGCCTCATGGCTTTCATACCTAGATGTTAGCCTTTCATCTCCAATGAGCTCCTTTATTCCCAGCACACTGAGCTACACTGAATCCTACCACCAGTTAGCCAGCTCCTTCAGGACTGCAACTTTGATAACTTAGGCTCCCAGCACTTCCTCTGTCTTCCTCTTTCAAACATTTCTGGTCCCTAAACATCATCTCCCCACCCAGGACCTTCTAGGCTTCATTTCTGTCCTTGCTCACTGTAGATTAGGCAAACATTCCCATTCCAGTCTGACTACCCTTTTCTTGTTTCGTTGATTTCCAGAAACATTCCCACACAGCAGAATACAATTTTTTTTCCCCATTCAAGTTCCAGTGGCACCTGCTTCCATTCTCAGCAATTTCTCACCTTTTAGTTTACTGAAACAACACATGCTCTCAAGAAACAAATTCGTACTGAGGTCTCTCTGTCAGGCTCTGAGCTTTGGGCAATGCAGATAAGTGAGCCACTCTCAAGGAGCCCATAAGTCCACTAGAGAAGGACAAGGGGCAGGGTGAGACAGGATAGCTCAGGTATCACTGGTGTATTTGACAAGAATGGCATCATAGAAATAGGGTTTGGGGAAGTGGAGTGAAGCAGG